ATACTAAAAGTTATGTAACTTTGGAGTTTAATGTCCGATTATCGTAAAACAAAAACTGCCCATAACGGAAAAGTAATAGCAATCAGATAAATAACTCAAATAATTATAATAATTGCTGTATCATATTAAAATGAATGCTAAAAGATCAACTTTACGTCAAAATTAACATTGTTTTTTATTATTTCAAGGCTATTACAAAAAATACCCCTGTGAACTATCTCTTATTATGCACGTGTCTCAGAGATGGTAAGCTGACCTAAATAATGTGTGGGAACCCCATGTTCCCTGTGCTCCCTGGAAGCGAGCGCGCTTCGCAACGCGCTCGCCGCTACCCCGGCCTGCTTCTGCTAGGGTGACAGATGGCCTCACCTGTCACCCCCAGGCCTGCGCTTATGGAGGACGGAGGTCGTTCTGCGACCTCCGGCGCCTGAGTCGCCTGCGGTACCTGGCCCGTTCCCGGGCCTGGCGGGTCGGGAGTCCTAAACCTCTCCCGGTCCCGCTCCGCCGTCTCCTTCGCGAGCATAACTTGCTCGCAGAAGTAGACGGCAGAGTTTCACGCACTCTCGCTCCGCACGATAGCCGCAATCAGGCTATTGAGCGAGAGAACTCCCACTCCGATGGCCGCCACGAGGTCTCGCCTCTGCTCAACCCACGCCGGGCACTCTGCCAGCGTGTGGAGAGCCGTGTCCAGGGTCTGGCCATCGCAGTGGTGGCACTCAGGCGTTGGCGCAAGGAGCCGGATCAGACACAGGTGATCCCCGAAACATCCCTTCCCAGTGATCACCTGCGTCAATCGGTATGAGAGGGTCCCGTGACGCCTCTCGAGCCAATCCTCCATAACGGGTCTTACCGCCGCGATGACGGCGTGCCCGGCGCTCGGTTGCCCGAGTCGTTCCCTCCACTCCCCTATGATGACCTGGCGGAGTTGGGATTTCCGGTCATCGATTTGTCGAATCTCGGGGCATCGACCCAACTCCCGCGCCTCCTTGCGCCACTGATACAGAGCCGCAAGGGGTCTCGCCTCCAGGTCCCACGGTGGTGTTCCGGCCAGGAGACTCGCCGCCTCAAAAGAGATCGTGCGGTACCCCCTTATGATCCTGATGGCCAGCACCCGCTGCGGTCGTCGCAGTATCGCGACGTTGCTGGCCTTCAGGGCCCCCGCCCGCAGCTTATTCCACCTCTAGCGGAAGCAAATACCTATTGTTGTACCAATTAAATAGTGAAAGTTTTTACATCTTGCCTATTTTTCCAATACCTCAGAATGGATAAATATTGTTATCTATACAAATAAATAAAATTGGAGTGTCTGTTTGTAATATTAAAATAACCGCTTTTTACTAAATGCATATGTATGTTGACACGGTACATATGCCAAAATAACATTTTTTACAATTTTGTCTGTCTGTCTGTTTGTACCGGGTAATCTCTGGAACGGCTGGACCGATTTCGACGGGACTTTCACTGGCAGATAGCTGATGACATAAGGAGTAACTTAGGCTACTTTTTTTAGACTAGCTTCGCCTCGCGGCGTTGCCAACAAACGGGGTAACACCGCGGGTCTCAGCTAGTATACAAATAAAACACAAAGTGAGTATGGTAAGTTTATTCGATTCACAAACAGTGATTATAACTACATATTACTAAGTAGGTATACATTATTGTACAACTAAATACTAGTCCATGACTAGGTACAAATGTGATGATACGATTAATAGAACATAAAACAACTTATAATTTGTAAGTTGTCTGTACAATCTAATGCTAAAAGTAAACGATATTAAACTCCAATGGTCAACACTAAGGTTCAATTTTGTTTTTACATTTTCGCTTGTTACGATAATACCGCTTTGACATAGGGTTTTTGGTAATAATGCTAGGATACAGATGTTAAAAGGCAACACGTAAGTTTGTTGCTTGTATGCTACTTTTACAATGGCGTCGACCAAACTGATGCAAGTCGATTGGTCCAGTTGTCACGCCATTAAAAGATAGATTATTACTACACCCTAGTCACTTATTCTTAATTATTTACAAATGCCTTACATAAGGATACAGTCCCATATTGTTTTTCTTATATAATACCTTTTGTAACAAACCGTAACACGCATATCAACGTTACGACTCATTTAGATACTCGCCGGTGCGAATACGCTCGGCGAGTTGCTCGGGTGTATTTGGTACTTCTTTTTTTGTTGTGATAGGTGGCAGACCAGCAGATGGGTCACCTGATAAGAAGTTACCATATCCGCCCATGAACGTCAGCAACTCACGAGTGAGAAACGCGTTGGCGGCCTTTTAGGAACGAGTACCCTCTTTTCTTGAAGGTCGTATGGGTCCGGCAATACCGCAGACGATAACCCGTTCCACAGATTAGTTGTGCGAGGCAAAAGTGTCTCAAAAAGACAGTAGTGGAGCGAGTTAGTCCGAACAATTCCTCGGAGCAATCTCCATGATATATACGATAGAGAATGCAGAGTGAAGCCACATCTCTACGTAACGCCAAGGGATCGAGCCGATCGGAGATGTTTGGGCTATCGTACTTCAGTACTAATATTTAATAGTCGAGTTATTCGGCTACTAATTTAGCGAGTATCTAAATGTTACCTTTACTGCTGTAAGATTTAAATAGTTCCGTGATAATTAATTAAGTGAAACAGCTAGAATATGGGAACGTGTCCTTAAACAAAATGTTTACAATATTATTTTATTTATATATATAAATTATCTAAACAAGCTGCAATATAATTTACCATTCTACATTGTTTAGGGGTTGTTTGTACCGATTCTTTATTTAGATTCGTTTTAATAGAAAGTTGATATTGAATATGAATATATTGTATTTTAGAGCAAATATACTGTTATAAAAATAAACGAAAAATTTTATAGTAGCAATTTTAACAAAGGGTTGATGTGAGTTTTGGTTTAGTAGAAACCGCTAAGGAAATTTTTATATCGTTATTGTTCTGATATCACGGCAAAAATTTAGCGATTGAGTAAAGAATTATCCAGTGAATAATTACAGAGTATTTGTGGGCGTGGCCTTTATTTATCTTCTCTGAAATAGAATCAGCGGTACACACTTCTACACACGACACAAACAGTTATGTTGGGTACATATGCCATCCAAAACATTAACGTGCATAGAATGCATTGGTTTCTCAGAAGTCATATATACACTGGCTTAATAATTACTTATATATGTTAAATAATCGTTAATCGCAGGCGGTTGTGTGACGTCACGATAACGGAAATGGAACTTAAAAATTTACGTTATTCTATAAAAAATATTTGCTGAAACTATTTACAACAAACTTCATTTAAAATATACAAAGAATATTATCTTCTCTGAATCTAGCTACTACTAAGCTACTCTAGAATCTCTTTCAATGTTTAAGCAACCAATATGAGAATACTAATAAGTATTTGCAGAAAAGATGTTTACGTACCTGCAAAACTCAAAATAACTAGCGGTGTGCGTTCAACAAAATATGTAGGAAAGCATTAATAATTAATTACAATCACAAACAAAGTATTTATAATAATCATAGGAAAACTTTTCGAGTTTCTTCTTCGTTAGATGATGTTTACCTGTATGTGGACAACGCAACAAATGAAGGAAGTTATTTTTTTTTTATTTTAAATGCAAAAGTTTGGATGGGTGAATGTTTGTCACGGCAGAACGATTGAACGGAAGTAAATAAAATTTGGCACAAAGATACTCTGGAACAGTTTAACCGAAAAACCATCAGTTACGTGAGTTTATGATTTTTTGACGAAGTTTGTTGTAACAAGTTATTAACGCACTAAATACAGGTACATTTTATCAAAAATCAAAAAGTCAGTGCCCGAAAAATATATAGTTCATCAAAATTAAAACAAAAACTTAACTTATGTCAAACAATAATTAAGTACAAGCATGGCATTCTTAAACTATGAGATTGTTTAACAACTAGTGAACTAAAATTGAATTTGAGTTAAGGAACACGTTCCTATAAGTTTGTTAATTTAAGAGAGGATAAACTCGTATTAGGAAAAGTGTCAAAACTATTTCAATCTCATAATTTATTAACACCAATACGTTTTACTGCCACAAAAACTTAAATTTATTATTTTGATAGGTTACTTGCCTTTTAGACGACAAAGTATCTAAAATACTAGTCTATGAGAAAACAAAACTACCTGTATCACCACTTTTCTACAGGGACCTGTTAAAAACTACATGCCATCTTTATTCCGTAATAATTTACTTATGCCGAATTGTCTACAGCTTCTACAGTTAATCATAAACAGCACAAATCGACTGAATAAGGTGAACTGCCGAGACCACAGCCGGTTAAATCAAAACAAGGAAACCAAAAATGTATCGCACCTTCTATGATGATGACGACGTGATGTGATTAAATTTTTATTTACACATTTTATGTTTCCACGTGCCCCTCGCGACAAGCATTTTAAGTTTATAAAGTGCCTCCAAAGGGTTCTAAATTCGACTGTTTTTTTTTTACTATTTTAGGAGGTATCTTTACTATTTCAGAATCGATTTCTATATCTCTTAATTAAACAAGTTCTATTCAAGACTGGTTCTATTTAAATTTGAAGAAAATATTTCGGCTATAAGGTCGTATAATTAGGAGATGGAGAAGACAACATATTACAATGTTGTCTTCTCCATCTCCTGGGTCATGGGAATTGAAATCAGTGATACTTTTGTTCGCAATATGATTATCAGCAATCAACGACACACCTTTCTGTAAGACACTGTGTACTATTTAAGACAGTGGTGACGCAGGTCAGTTGTAACCGACAATATAGTAATACAATAACTATATATTACGATCTATAACTTAAGAGCTTAGTCAACTATATATTAGTAAAGTAGATGTTATATATTAAGTTATAAATAAATGTAAATGTACAAACAAAGTGGGTAACATAAGTGTTCTCTTGAACGAACAAACGAAAACTAACTCTTATACAATATAAGTAAGGTTTAAATTATGTCACTGAAAGTAGTTTCTCTTCTTTCTTGATATACTGAAAAGATAAATTAGCTGAATTGAGTTAAATCTATTGTAAATACATCCAAAGACCACATTAATTCAGACGTAAGTAAGTTCAGTTGCACGCTTTCCCTGCCCTTATTTAAATGAATTTATATGTATGTTGTACGTATATACACAATATATGTTTATATTATTTATAGTTATATTATCAATGTATTTCAACCCAAACTCAACTCTCGTGTAAACAGGGCAATATTATGTAGATACTTATATAGAGAGGTGTCGATAACGGTAACGGTGTCGCGAGTTCAATGGTTTCTTCCAATCTCAAAAAATACATTTTTGTGTTTGTTGTTCAAAAATGCCCAACGCGCGAATAAGATGCATTTCAAACATCAAAATATCAACATGTTCTTCGTTCGTATAGGTTATCATCCTAGAATATTATACCTTATTCTAATAAGGTGTATATATATAATATTATACCTTATTCTAATAAGGTGTATATATATAATATTATACCTTATTCTAATAAGGTATATATATAATATTATACCTTATTCTAATAAGGTATATATATAATATTATACCTTATTCTAATAAGGTGTATATATATAATATTATACCTTATTCTAATAAGGTGTATATATATAATATTATACCTTATTCTAATAAGGTGTATATATATAATATTACACCTTATTCTAATAAGGTGTATATATATAATATTATACCTTATTCTAATAAGGTATATATATAATATTATACCTTATTCTAATAAGGTATATATATAATATTATACCTTATTCTAATAAGGTGTATATATATAATATTATACCTTATTCTAATAAGGTGTATATATATAATATTACACCTTATTCTAATAAGGTGTATATATATAATATTACACCTTATTCTAATAAGGTGTATATATATAATATTATACCTTATTCTAATAAGGTATATATATAATATTATACCTTATTCTAATAAGGTGTATATATATAATATTATACCTTATTCTAATAAGGTATATATATAATATTATACCTTATTCTAATAAGGTGTATATATATAATATTATACCTTATTCTAATAAGGTATATATATAATATTATACCTTATTGTAATAAGGTGTATATATATAATATTATACCTTATTCTAATAAGGTATATATATAATATTATACCTTATTGTAATAAGGTGTATATATATAATATTATACCTTATTGTAATAAGGTGTATATATATAATATTATACCTTATTCTAATAAGGTATAATATTCTAGGATGATAACCTTTACGAAAGAAGAACATGTTGATATTTTCTATAGCTATAGCTATCTATAGCTGAATATAACATATTTTTAACATATCTGCAATTTAACTGTCATAGTTTTTTTGTAAATATTGCACAAAGCATTTTTTTTTGCAATTATCTATTTACTTAAGCCCAGTTTGTTAACTACAATTTTGGTAATGGAAATTAGAATTGTATTAGACAAAATATCGTCAATTTTATAAATAATCTTAAAAGTACAATATCTTGAAAATGGTTAGGTTTGGGATATGGTATTTCATAGTGAAATCGATTAGCAATAAGGGCCACTACAACCCTTAATGTATCTAGATCGACTAAACCAGTAACCCTGTATATACGTATATGACAGTGGTATCTGATGGTAAAGACTCACCCTGTATCAGCGGGTGAGAAGAAAAATCCTCGCGGTCTCGTCATGGTCGTGGTGAGCGGCGAGCCAGGCTCGTTAGGGCAGGCCCACTGGGACCAGTAGTCGCCAGGCAACCGGAGAAGTAGCTGCATCACCTGCTCGAAAGTCCACTATTATTATTTGAGTGGTATTAATAACTTTGTGGATATGAGCGACTGTGCAGTCACTTCTCTTAACAGACTGCCTCGGTGGTGCAGTGGTAGCGTACGCGACTGCTGTGCTGAGGTCTCGGTTTCGATTCCCGGGTCGGACAAAATGTTTCGGCGTTTGTGAGTTTAATATTTATAATATAATTATTAATATAATATATTTACAAAAAAAAGTATGTAAGTATTCTATCAGTCAATCTAGCTTTCGTAGTACAAGCTCTGCTTAGTTTGAAACTAAATGACGTTGTGTGTCAATGTTCGAAAATATTAATTATATTATTATTACAATACATGGAGGTTAGGTAGGTGTTTTGATATACTTGATTGTTTTAATGTTATATCAGGCAAACAAGAAGTCGAGTGTCTCCCCTCCCTTCCTCCCGAATTGGAGGGGAGTGGGGTGGTTGGGTCTCCGGTATCATTCCCATTGTGGTGAAACTGCTGTTGCTGTTTATTTGGGGTGACATAAATAGTTGTAACACAACAATGTGCGTAATGCGCGTGTACCGTCCTAACGCCTTAGTAACACAATATCACGCCGGTGGAACCGCTTATTCCTGGTGGAGGCCTGTAACTCTTGAGTAGCAAGTGTCCATGGGTGGCAGTAGTCACTTACCATAAGGTGACCTGTCTGCTTGTTTGCCGCCCCAATACCTTAAAAATGAGATAGAACATAAAGCACAAAACACTTACGCTAAACATCTGTGTTGTCGCGTTGTACATCTCGGTGGGTTGCGACATGAGCCCATAGCCGATGAGCGTGGGGCCGAAAATTTTGGCCAAATTGTCTATGCCCATCTCACACTCGGGACTTTCAGCTACCCTAGAATTTGAAAAACACTTTATTGAAACTAAATAATAAGAATTGGCGTTAAAGCAACACAATGTTGAAAAATTATGTTGCTTTAGTGCAAATATTTTAATAAAAATTATGTCGTTATGGTCTATGAATTAAGTCTACTAAGTAAGAATGATTTAAATAAGTAGACACAGAATATAGACACATACACATACAACACAAATTGAATTAGGATCGCCTTGTGACTAATACTTTTAGAGTTCTTTTTTATTTTTTCATTATAAAAACAAATACTTAAAATCCGATAAATATATTTCAGTACGGAGCTACTGTCAAGGATCACACCGGCAGTAGTTCAGTATCGATCTATGGCATGCGTTTCATACAGTAGGGAACAACGTATTTCTTTGACAAATCTTCGTCGTGTGTCTTCGTCGACACGACCACTTTGTATCGCAAAGGTAACCGAATGAAAAGTATTTATGTGCGAGGTATTCGGAAGTAGCACTTAAATTCAATGCAATAAAGGTAGGAGTGCCGCAGGGAGCGGTGGTGGGTCCGGATGCTCACTTCTGCAGGTGCAGCACGAGGAAGGCGAGCGAGTCGCGGTTGGGCTGCGGCAGCTGGCTGACGGCCTGCACGAGCGCAGCCGTGGCGTCGGGCTGGGCCAGGCGCGCCGCCTCCAGGAAGTCGGCCCACAGCGCGCTCGTCACCAGCGGCTCGCGGAGCCCCCGCAGGAAGTCCTTGATGCAGCCGCACAGCACGTGCACGTCCTCGCCGCCCAGCGACGGCGACCCGCACCCGCGCAGGAACCGCTCCTGAGTTACACGGTAGTCTTCTCAGTGACACGTCAAGTCAAAATATCACAAATCTAATTAAAAGTTAAAGGGAAAACAAAAGAACCATATTGGCAATCCTAGTATAAAAACTCACGTGTGTTTTAACAATTTCACTACCATCGATGGTAGGTCCGTGTGGTGACGGTGTCACCACCCGTACTCATCCCGTGGGTGTCGTAAGAGCCGACTGAGGGAAAAAACTACGCAGGACAACAGCACTGCAGAGAGAAGGAAAACTTGACACAAACCCTATACCAACCCGTCTGGCCAGCGTGGTATAGTAGGCCAAAACCTCCTTCCTCAGGAGAGGCTTATGTCCAGCAGTGGACTATTAAAGGCTGTTGATGATGATGCTATGTAAATAACAATATATACCTTGAGTCGTTTTACGTCTTTGTCAGTGGCACTGATGCGGTATATTCCCTTCTCCATGAGTCCCCTCTTCTCCACCTCGTTTATACAGTGGACCAGTAGCGCCGGAACCATCGGGGGGGTCGACGGCGCGTAGTCCGATATGCAACCTTCCTGAAATTTAGAGTGGAGATGTTGATTTCATTGAAATATTTTTATTCAGGGTTATCGAGCGAAACCGATAATTACTAATTATATAAGTTTAAGTTAATATCGTATAATGTTACCGATGTAACTTTTATTAAGAGATAGGTTATTCTAGTTGCGGGCGACGCAAAGTCAGGCGGGGCCTGCGCGGGAGGTGATCCGGCTTTGGACGCCGTCATTGCTTGCCCATACGACACGACTGCGATCGCACGATACTCGCTACAATAATTTAATTATTATATCGGTATTTATAACGGGTGTTATAATACATATCACAAAAAATGAAATAACAGATAACACGGTTCAATATACGTCTTTTAAAATAAATAATAAAAAAAATAGTACGCAAATACAGAAATGCAAATTTAGAACAAACTAAATACAATAAAATAATTTCCGAATTAGAACACCATTGATAACATGAGCCGGCGAACTTTACATTCTTATTACCTACCTACTAAGTATTAAGAATACGATTTTATTCACGTGTTTATTTTCGGAATGCTCGACTAGCTTCGGACCTGGCAGTACGTGACACTTCTTGAAAAAGTAGGTACTTTGGTTGTCTCGTAATCTTTGTACCGCCCTTACAAAAATTCGGCAGTCTGTAGGACATACACGATTGACTCCATACCTGTCCGTAAAGCAAAAGATGCGTTTTGATAGAGTTTCCTATAAATTAACATCATGGCAGGATTTTCCGCGGCTGTGAAGGTCACTTACGGCATTATTGATGTTGATACCCATAACCCATTAAAATTAAAAGACTGATAATTCACTCAGTTTCACACTACACTACACACAGAACCTAATATGCTACTTTTCAAAATAAAATTAGCAGGACTCGTTACATTACGAAGTCTTGCGCACACGATAACATTAATTGTTCACACCATTGCCATGTCGCACCTTTATTCATTAACTGAATTAACTTAGAATTTCAATATTGTGGGAAATCGCATTTAAAGTTTGACATTCATGTACATGCGAGTTCGTCAAAAAGAGAACGACGATCTCTTATCTCTGCCATTTTCATGGTATCGAGTCGGCTGTTGGATTGTTCGTGTTCTACTGATGAAGTTGATTTGGTATTTGTTGAAAACTCGAAAAACGTAAATTTTGAATTAATTCAGTTTATTATTAAAGGTGCGATGTATTATGACGAAAGCAAAAAGACTAAACAATTATTACCACAAGAAAACTTTTCTAAACAAATATGTATCTCATGAACAACAATATTATTATTACCGTTATAATTACAATACAGTACTAACTAAGTCTATATTTTTTTAATTTTATTAATTGATAATTAAGTATGTAACAGTTATTTTTCCATTATATTTGTATTGCGTACGGAGTTGTAAACAGTGACGCCTGTCGCCCTGCGTCGCATTTATTGATTTATCCGAAGTAGATTGTAACTATAGTATTGATGTCTCTTCGTCCGACATCGGACCACTAGATGGCGTGGTTTTTTTTGGTAACTCGTGGTCGTAATAATTTATCCTGTCAAATTGTATTGGTGTTAAAAGTGTCCTGTTATGGTAGGAAGCGGGTTACTGTTGAATTGAGTCGTGTTAACCTCAATGATAATTTGAATTCGATTGGGCTCCCATTCATGATTAAGTAAAGAAGGGATTCTTTCTAGAAATTTCACAAACCGAGCATATATAAGTCCGGCTTTCAGCCGCAGACACCGCCGGACATTCTGGTGATTCTAGTCTTCCGATCTGAAGTAGCATTTTGATTGTCTGTTTATTCATTTTTAGTAAATTCTGTGTCCTAAGTACCCACTTCAGTGGTAAGTTAATCTTATTTTTCTTATAGTCATTTGTTTTTGCAATCTGAACGATTATATGAGTGTTAATCCATTCGTAAGACTCCAGATTTCGGGTCAAGAGATACTTCTCAGACGGCGTGATCTTTTGTTTGTGGTCTTCTTATGCGTAAATGGCAGTCTTGGCAGTCACGCGGCTCACAAGCAAGCGGTCAGCCTCATTCAAGGGTTACGTAATTTTTGTTAATGTAACTAATATAAATACCTAACCTTCCTATATACCTAATATAAATAGCCGACTCGGGCTGGTGTGGAAATAACCTGCAGGATTGCTGACGAAGAGGCTCCTAGCAACATCAGCTCGGCCTTGACGCGCGAGGCTGCGGGATCTTTTTTTATATACCCACTATTTATATTTATTCAGTTTTAACTCTGTATTTGGAATGAAATATACATGTATGTATGACTGAGGTGTAGGTTGTGTTTCTCTGAAGAGTCCCTTAGGTTGCCCACACGCACACCCTTCTGTTTTCGACAAGGCGCCCTGAGGTAATCTCGTGTATTTCTCGGCTGGGTAAGCCGGTGAGTAGACCGCCTGACACGTTCAGCGGTTACAAGTACACCGTACGGCAATAAGTTATAATTATTTTTCATATTGCAAGGGAGTAGCTGTCGATAGTAGACAGTAGGTTGTACCTGCGGCGCGTTGAGTCTCCTGGCGGCGGGCCCGGGCGGCACGCACGGCAGCGGCAGCAGCGCGCGGCACTCGGGGTGCGCCTGCGCACGGCACCACTCGCACTTCACGCCCAGCTACGCGAACTTTATGTCGATAGTAGACAGTAGGTTGTACCTGCGGCGCGTTGAGTCTCCTGGCGGCGGGCCCGGGCGGCACGCACGGCAGCGGCAGCAGCGCGCGGCACTCGGGGTGCGCCTGCGCACGGCACCACTCGCACTTCACGCCCAGCTTCGCGAACTTTATGTCGATAGTAGACAGTAGGTTGTACCTGCGGCGCGTTGAGTCTCCTGGCGGCGGGCCCGGGCGGCACGCACGGCAGCGGCAGCAGCGCGCGGCACTCGGGGTGCGCCTGCGCACGGCACCACTCGCACTTCACGCCCAGCTTCGCGAACTTTATGTCGATAGTAGACAGTAGGTTGTACCTGCGGCGCGTTGAGTCTCCTGGCGGCGGGCCCGGGCGGCACGCACGGCAGCGGCAGCAGCGCGCGGCACTCGGGGTGCGCCTGCGCACGGCACCACTCGCACTTCACGCCCAGCTTCGCGAACTTTATGTCGATAGTAGACAGTAGGTTGTACCTGCGGCGCGTTGAGTCTCCTGGCGGCGGGCCCGGGCGGCACGCACGGCAGCGGCAGCAGCGCGCGGCACTCGGGGTGCGCCTGCGCACGGCACCACTCGCACTTCACGCCCAGCTTCGCGAACTTTATGTCGATAGTAGACAGTAGGTTGTACCTGCGGCGCGTTGAGTCTCCTGGCGGCGGGCCCGGGCGGCACGCACGGCAGCGGCAGCAGCGCGCGGCACTCGGGGTGCGCCTGCGCACGGCACCACTCGCACTTCACGCCCAGCTTCGCGAACTTTATGTCGATAGTAGACAGTAGGTTGTACCTGCGGCGCGTTGAGTCTCCTGGCGGCGGGCCCGGGCGGCACGCACGGCAGCGGCAGCAGCGCGCGGCACTCGGGGTGCGCCTGCGCACGGCACCACTCGCACTTCACGCCCAGCTTCGCGAACTTTATGTCGATAGTAGACAGTAGGTTGTACCTGCGGCGCGTTGAGTCTCCTGGCGGCGGGCCCGGGCGGCACGCACGGCAGCGGCAGCAGCGCGCGGCACTCGGGGTGCGCCTGCGCACGGCACCACTCGCACTTCACGCCCAGCTTCGCGAACTTTATGTCGATAGTAGACAGTAGGTTGTACCTGCGGCGCGTTGAGTCTCCTGGCGGCGGGCCCGGGCGGCACGCACGGCAGCGGCAGCAGCGCGCGGCACTCGGGGTGCGCCTGCGCACGGCACCACTCGCACTTCACGCCCAGCTTCGCGAACTTTATGTCGATAGTAGACAGTAGGTTGTACCTGCGGCGCGTTGAGTCTCCTGGCGGCGGGCCCGGGCGGCACGCACGGCAGCGGCAGCAGCGCGCGGCACTCGGGGTGCGCCTGCGCACGGCACCACTCGCACTTCACGCCCAGCTTCGCGAACTTTATGTCGATAGTAGACAGTAGGTTGTACCTGCGGCGCGTTGAGTCTCCTGGCGGCGGGCCCGGGCGGCACGCACGGCAGCGGCAGCAGCGCGCGGCACTCGGGGTGCGCCTGCGCACGGCACCACTCGCACTTCACGCCCAGCTTCGCGAACTTTATGTCGATAGTAGACAGTAGGTTGTACCTGCGGCGCGTTGAGTCTCCTGGCGGCGGGCCCGGGCGGCACGCACGGCAGCGGCAGCAGCGCGCGGCACTCGGGGTGCGCCTGCGCACGGCACCACTCGCACTTCACGCCCAGCTTCGCGAACTTTATGTCGATAGTAGACAGTAGGTTGTACCTGCGGCGCGTTGAGTCTCCTGGCGGCGGGCCCGGGCGGCACGCACGGCAGCGGCAGCAGCGCGCGGCACTCGGGGTGCGCCTGCGCACGGCACCACTCGCACTTCACGCCCAGCTTCGCGAACTTTATGTCGATAGTAGACAGTAGGTTGTACCTGCGGCGCGTTGAGTCTCCTGGCGGCGGGCCCGGGCGGCACGCACGGCAGCGGCAGCAGCGCGCGGCACTCGGGGTGCGCCTGCGCACGGCACCACTCGCACTTCACGCCCAGCTTCGCGAACTTTATGTCGATAGTAGACAGTAGGTTGTACCTGCGGCGCGTTGAGTCTCCTGGCGGCGGGCCCGGGCGGCACGCACGGCAGCGGCAGCAGCGCGCGGCACTCGGGGTGCGCCTGCGCACGGCACCACTCGCACTTCACGCCCAGCTTCGCGAACTTTATGTCGATAGTAGACAGTAGGTTGTACCTGCGGCGCGTTGAGTCTCCTGGCGGCGGGCCCGGGCGGCACGCACGGCAGCGGCAGCAGCGCGCGGCACTCGGGGTGCGCCTGCGCACGGCACCACTCGCACTTCACGCCCAGCTTCGCGAACTTTATGTCGATAGTAGACAGTAGGTTGTACCTGCGGCGCGTTGAGTCTCCTGGCGGCGGGCCCGGGCGGCACGCACGGCAGCGGCAGCAGCGCGCGGCACTCGGGGTGCGCCTGCGCACGGCACCACTCGCACTTCACGCCCAGCTTCGCGAACTTTATGTCGATAGTAGACAGTAGGTTGTACCTGCGGCGCGTTGAGTCTCCTGGCGGCGGGCCCGGGCGGCACGCACGGCAGCGGCAGCAGCGCGCGGCACTCGGGGTGCGCCTGCGCACGGCACCACTCGCACTTCACGCCCAGCTTCGCGAACTTTATGTCGATAGTAGACAGTAGGTTGTACCTGCGGCGCGTTGAGTCTCCTGGCGGCGGGCCCGGGCGGCACGCACGGCAGCGGCAGCAGCGCGCGGCACTCGGGGTGCGCCTGCGCACGGCACCACTCGCACTTCACGCCCAGCTTCGCGAACTTTATGTCGATAGTAGACAGTAGGTTGTACCTGCGGCGCGTTGAGTCTCCTGGCGGCGGGCCCGGGCGGCACGCACGGCAGCGGCAGCAGCGCGCGGCACTCGGGGTGCGCCTGCGCACGGCACCACTCGCACTTCACGCCCAGCTTCGCGAACTTTATGTCGATAGTAGACAGTAGGTTGTACCTGCGGCGCGTTGAGTCTCCTGGCGGCGGGCCCGGGCGGCACGCACGGCAGCGGCAGCAGCGCGCGGCACTCGGGGTGCGCCTGCGCACGGCACCACTCGCACTTCACGCCCAGCTTCGCGAACTTTATGTCGATAGTAGACAGTAGGTTGTACCTGCGGCGCGTTGAGTCTCCTGGCGGCGGGCCCGGGCGGCACGCACGGCAGCGGCAGCAGCGCGCGGCACTCGGGGTGCGCCTGCGCACGGCACCACTCGCACTTCACGCCCAGCTTCGCGAACTTTATGTCGATAGTAGACAGTAGGTTGTACCTGCGGCGCGTTGAGTCTCCTGGCGGCGGGCCCGGGCGGCACGCACGGCAGCGGCAGCAGCGCGCGGCACTCGGGGTGCGCCTGCGCACGGCACCACTCGCACTTCACGCCCAGCTTCGCGAACTTTATGCCGATAGTAGACAGTAGGTTGTACCTGCGGCGCGTTGAGTCTCCTGGCGGCGGGCCCGGGCGGCACGCACGGCAGCGGCAGCAGCGCGCGGCACTCGGGGTGCGCCTGCGCACGGCACCACTCGCACTTCACGCCCAGCTTCGCGAACTTTATGTCGATAGTAGACAGTAGGTTGTACCTGCGGCGCGTTGAGTCTCCTGGCGGCGGGCCCGGGCGGCACGCACGGCAGCGGCAGCAGCGCGCGGCACTCGGGGTGCGCCTGCGCACGGCACCACTCGCACTTCACGCCCAGCTTCGCGAACTTTATGTCGATAGTAGACAGTAGGTTGTACCTGCGGCGCGTTGAGTCTCCTGGCGGCGGGCCCGGGCGGCACGCACGGCAGCGGCAGCAGCGCGCGGCACTCGGGGTGCGCCTGCGCACGGCACCACTCGCACTTCACGCCCAGCTTCGCGAACTTTATGCTGCACAAACGGCACACCATCGACTATTATATTTAAATGTCTTTAAACAGATCATGTGTAATTTTCATATATAAGATAAAGAAATCAAGATACTCTCGACAGATAAACGAGATCAAACAAAAAGTGGCACAGAACTGAGATCTGTTACTTTCATACCGTCGCCTCTATGGAATGATTTCTTTCACCCAATATAGATAAAGTCATTAAGATTAATCGGTCGCAGTATTCTCATCTCGATCACACCGCATGAGACTGGCCATAAAAACACCAAGTTTTAATACATCATAAATGAAAGAGTGAGTACGTACGTCTTGCCGCAAGGGCCACAGGTCTCCCGCTTGTAGAAGTTCTTGGCGACGAAGTTGTGTTGTCGCGGGCGAGCGCGCGGCGAGGCCCCGAAGCCGGCCGACACCACGGACGGGGTGCGCTGTGGGACCGCGCGGGGCGTCTCGCACCCGCTCGACGTGTCTGACATACACACACAAAATATTAATCATATTGTAGAACACACACTCAACTTACTCACTATATAATTTTATTAGTACGTAAGTTTTGTAAACCGCTAAACTATGTTAATAAATTTTGTTATACACCTGTATACCAAAATAAATATAAATAGTTTCAAACTAAGCACAGCTTGTACTATAAAAGCTATTTTTCTTTATAAATACATCATCATCAGCCTATCGCAGTCCACTGCTGGACATAGGCCTCTCCCATTGCACGCCACTTAGATCGATTTTGGGCTTCTCGCATCCAGCTCCTGCCAGCCATCTTGCGCAAATCGTCACTCCACCTGGCCTGTGGGCGTCCTACACTACGTTTGCCGAGACGCGGTCTCCACTCAAGAACTCGTTTTCCCCAACGGTTATCGGTTCTGCGGCTAATATGGCCAGCCCACTGCCACTTCAACTTGCTGATCCGGTACGCTATGTCGGTGACCTTAGTTCTCTGCCGGATCACCTCATTTCTGATGCGATCCCTTAGAGAAACGCCGAGCATAGCCCTTTCCATAGCACGTTGAGCGACTTTGAACTTGTGGACCAGCCGTACCGTAAGTGTCCACGTTTCAGCTCCGTATGTCATGACGGGTAGGACGCACTCATTAAAGACTTTCGTCTTAAGGCACTGTGGGATCGACGATGAGAAGACTCGACGTAGCTTCCCAAACGCTGCCCAACCCAACCGAATTCTTCTGTTCACCTCGTCCTCGAAGTTGTTTCTACCTAACTGCAATGTCTGCCCGAGGTACACATAATTTTGAACAACTTCGAGAACGGCACCGTGTACCGCAATCGGTTCCGGTAGTACATGTTCGTTGAACATGACCTTGGTTTTATCCAAGTTCATCCGTAGGCCGATGCGTACAGAAGTGTCAGCTAAGTCATTCAGCATTTGCTGTAGGTCCTGCAACGTCTCTGCCATGATGACGATGTCATCTGCAAATCGCAAGTGAGAGATGTATTCGCCATTGATATTGATGCCACGCCCTTTCCAGTGCAGCGTCTTGAACATGTCCTCCATTGCATTTGTGAACAATTTCGGGGAAATAACGTCCCCTTGTCTCACTCCTCGATGCAATGGTACGGGCCTTGTTTGCTGATTCTGTACTTGGACGGACATGGTGGCGGCTTCGTAGAGACATCTCATCACTTTGATGTATCGCCAATCTACTTGGCAACGCTGCAGGGACTCCAGAACAGACCAGATCTCGATCGAGTCAAAGGCTTTCTCATAGTCCACGAATGCTAGACACAGGGGCTGATTATATTCTTCGGTCTTCTGTATAATCTGCCGCACTGTGTGGATGTGGTCTATGGTGCCATATCCGCTCCGAAACCCAGCTTGCTCCGGTGGTTGGAATTCGTCGAGTCTTCGCGCAAGACGGTTCGTGATGACTCTCGAAAACAGCTTGTAGACGTGGCTTAGAAGGGATATGGGTCGATAGTTCTTCAACCTGGTCTTGTCACCCTTTTTGAAGAACAAGACGACCACACTCCTACTCCACGCTTCTGGAGTTCTCCCTTCAAACAGGACAGCGTTGAAGAGCTTTTGGAGCTCCCTTAGTACGGGTTTACCCCCGGCCTTCAGCAGCTCTGTTGTAACGCCATCCTCTCCAGGGGCTTTTCCATTTTTCAGCTGTCCAAGAGCCATCTCGATTTCGTCAATGCTAACTTCTGGCAGGTCTTCGGTGTAGTGACGTGTTAATGTGGCTCTAGAGTCCTCATTTTCGGGATCAGGTCGAGATGCATGCGAAGCGTATAACCGGCCATAGAAGCTTTCCACTTCCAAAAGGACTGCCGGCTTCGAAGCAACGACTTCTCCACTTTCTGTAGTCAACTTTGTCAGGTGGCTTCTTCCAAGAGATTGTACGAACACTTTTGACCCCCGATTTTGCTCGATCGCTCTTTCAATTGAAAGAGTATTGGAGCACCGGAGGTCGTGTCGTACGAGTTTACTGATCTCTCGGTTTAGAGTCCGCTTTGCCGACAAAGTGACAGGTGGGTTTTCACGTCGTTTCTTCATCAGCCCTAGGGTCCTTTCTGAAAGCTTCGACTTCCTGCCCTTACGCTGCATTTCACAAAATCTCATACCTTCTTCCCTGAGGATCTGAACCACATTTTTGAGGTTCTGGTTTACGTCGATTGTGGTTTCCACGGCAGCGAATCGGTTTTCCAGTTTTGACTGGAACGTTTCAGATCCTGTCATGGCTTGGAGCCGAGTTGGTCGGAGCCTGGATTTCATCAAACAGACACGTTCCGCCTTAAAGTTGATATTCAGAGAGCCCCGGACAAGTCGGTGATCACTACCGGTATTAAACCTATTGATCACTGAGACGTCTCTGAATATGTGCTTTCTATCCGTCATGATGAAATCGATCTCATTTCTGGTCATAGCGTCGGGGCTTTGCCACGTCCACTTCCTTTGGGGCTGTTTCTTGAAGAAAGAATTCATCAAAAACAGCCCCTCCCGTTCGAGGAAGTTGACCAGCATTTGCCCCCTATGGTTCCTGCTTCCAAATCCATGGGATCCTACTACCGATTGGCCGCAATTCTGTACTCCCACTTTAGCGTTGAAGTCACCCATAACAACGTTGTAGTGGGTCTTAGTTGTGAAGTGGAGGGCCCTCGATATGTCATCGTACATATCCTCCACCTCGTCGTCCGAATGTGCCGAGGTCGGTGCGTACACTTGCACAACCTTGAGGCTATACCTCTCGGTGAGCTTGATAATGAGGTACGCTACCCTGTTCGACACACTGGAAATTTCCACAACGTTGTCAGATAGGGACTTATTTACCAGAAACCCAACCCCACCTTGGGATTGTTGGTCTCCCTCGCGGAAGTACATTAGGTGGCCTGACTCGAGGGTTATGGTGTCCTCCCCCTCTCTTCGGACTTCACATAGCCCTAGGATATGCCACCTAATCTTCCCAAGTTCCACCTCAAGTTGCGCCAGATGCGAGTCTAGCCGTAGCGTGCGTCCGTTGTACGTAGCCAGGGTCAGTCGGTTGTGGTGGCCTCCCGTAGCCCGGAGATTCTTCGCACCCCCTGCCCCGCCTTTACCGTGGTCGCCACCATGACCAGGAATAGCGGGGCCGCCGGGAACTGGGGGCCGTGGCCTTTGTTGCGTCTGCATGGGAGGGGTTTGCCCATAATCGCCACGCTGGGCAGGCGGGTTGGCGATCGCAGGGCGTAGCTTGTCGCACCGGTAACGCTGCTGCCCGTCACCGGCCTGTTGTATTTAGCTACGCCTATTGGGATGGATATACCGCCATCGGTCGGTCGCCAGAGCCTCGTTCGTCGTGCAGCAGGATGCACCGCGGGCAGGTGAGGTTGGCTTGGGGCGAAAGATGGTGGTTCGCCCCTCACACCCCAATATGTAATTTCTATGTTCAATATGTATGTATTATAAATACATACATATTGAACATAGAAAACAGCGAAACAAATATTTGCAGATCATACAAACGTTTGGTCCGACCCGGGAATACCTCTTTATCTTGTGGGCAAAGGACATATTCCTGGTTTTATCGCAAAAATAAAAATTACTTGTTATACAATTCATCACATCTAAACGAATAAATCAAATATTTTTTTGATAATAATATTTGTTTTCTTTTTTTAAATATTTTAATAATTTTAAAAATATATTTTTTCTTTATTACAGACCCAAGTATGAAGAAAGATTAATTATTTTCATTAATCATTTCAAGTTTAAAATTTTTAAAATCATATTTATTTCTACCCTTCTATATAGTTTTCCAGTTGGTTGTCTTCACTTAACTTTACTAATAGGGGATCTGTATTCGAACTTCATCCACATAAAATTCTATACAATACTATAACAAAAAGTAACGTATGTCGTTTCCCAAGGTCTTGTCTATCTCTATGAAAAAGTTCAATTTTTTTCAGTAGTTTAGGCGGAAACACAAGAGACAAAGAGACCGTCACTCTCCGAATTGTAACATCTATACTAATATTATAAAGCTGAAGAGTTTGTTTGTTTGTTTGTTTGTTTGTTTGTTTGTTTGAACGCGCTAATCTCAGGAACTACTGGTCCGATTTGAAAAATTCTTTCAGTGTTAGATAGCCCATTTATCGAGGAAGGCTATAGGCTATATATCATCACGCTAAGACCAATAGGAGCGGAGCACCAATGAAGAATGTTTCAAAAACGGAGAAAATTTATTACTATTGAGTGACGCAGACGAAGTTGCGCGGGTCAGCTAGTTATGATATAAAAGGTGCAGGACTGACCGGTCCTCTGTGGTGCAGAGGGCGCGCACTCCTCCGGCACGTGTAGCGACCCCCGGCCCGACAAGCGACCTGACGACTTACGAGGAGGAGGAGCCTCGTCACTGCTCTCTGATATTGGTTGCTGGAATACAATTTTAATAATATTAATATTTTCACAAATTTCACACGGCCGTCTGAACCCAAACTAGGCAGAGCTTGTACAATGGTGACCAGACTGCTGATAAACATATATATTTATTTCTAAATACATACATATTATACTTTATCTATAATATAAACAAATTACACCCAGACACAGCACAAATGACCGTGTTCATCTGACTTGACTGTTTTGAAGTTATAACGAAACTATTATTTATTGCAACTAAGCAACATCCTATTAAAAAAAATATCAAAAAATCACTTCAATGATTTGTAGTAATCGTATTGCTCCGTAGAATATGTATTAATAGCATATGTATGACACCGACAATCTGTGGATCACACGCCATGTGGGGACCGAACCCACAACATTAGGACAGTAGGACTAGGTACAGTAGAAAGTAGGAGTAGGGTAGGCTAGGTGACCTCTTAAACTACTACGCCATCCGTGCAGTTACTCCATTACATAACATCTTAGCTGTAATGAAATATAGTATGTGTTGAAATATTTTATAAATGTGAGAAATGCTTATTAACTTACGAAGTTCTGTGGAGGTTTCAGATCGTGGCTGGTAGGTGCACGCTCTAGTGTGAGTGTTGTGGTCGCAGTGGCCAGCACTTTACCACCTTGGAGTTCCACAGTCTAAAAAAGGTTTAAAAGTTATTAATATAGTACATCTGAAATATTTATATGAATTTGTTTTAGGTATCTGATTTGTACAAAGATAGCTAATAGTTATCATTGACTAGCTGAACCACGCAATTTCTTATGAATCTCCAAAAGGAATAACATTTCCCCGTTTTTAATATTTTTCTTTTGCTTTCTAATAAAATAAGATTTTTTTAATTAGAACCGATACTTCAGCCAAACAAAGCAGCTTTATAATATTTATGATGTTTATGAACTGTGAACTGTAAGATTATGACACAAAAACTTACTTTAGTGGCAGAAGAATTAGTAGACGATCGCCGCTTCTTGGTGACGGGAGCATTTTCGCGAGCATTCCACCCTCCGCGTTGCACCCACGAGCGGCGAGTAGACGCAAGCGACAAGTCTAAGTCGTCCTCCGAACGGGAGTACGACATCTCTGATAAAAGAGTACCTGGAAGACACATACACTTTGTATGCTTCAGTTATTTAAAATTACAACATTTAAAATGGTCTTATTCCTGTGTATTTTTATTTTTGGGTTGTTTCGTTATTTGATTTAACTACTGAGCGTCCGTGGTTGGCACCACGGCTGATGACCGTCAGATGGTAAATGAGATACGTACGATAATAATATAATATTTGCCGGACATCTAACACACAACGCCATCTAGTTTTAAACTAAGCAGAGCCTGTACTATTCATAGTTTGTATAGCTCTAACTTTTAAACCAGATTAACTGATAAAATACTTTTATTATTTTTTTCTAAATACATCCTTTAAAAGGATGATTTAAAAAGGATTCCTTTTTATATATAGAAAACACTCAAAAGCCGACACAACTTTTTGCAGATCATACAAACATTTGGACCAACCGACCCGGGAATCGAACCCGAGAAAACAGCACAGTAGTCGCATACGCTACCACTGCACCACCGAGGCAGTCAAAGTTATGCGATTACTGTGGCTCACTTATTTTTATATACATACACTCAAGTCTTTATATCCGAGGCAGTAAGCCAGAGTCGTATTAAACGCCAACATTTTGCAGACTACAGTTTTTTAGTCCCACTTACGTAGATATTAAGTGGCAAAGCTATAGGCGTTAAATTGCCATATATTTTTTTAAATAAACATACTTATATTCTTTTTTCTATATCCTGTGTCGCGGGGGATTTTACAAACATACATGAAATGGACACAAGGAACACCCAGACTCAGAACAACAATTTGTGGATCACACAAAGTTGTGGGGTTCGATCCGAACGTGGAACGACCCATGTGCGGATCGAGTCCATAGCACTCAGCGTAGTAGGCATACATCCATATATATTTGCAGATATTTTTACGAAAGGATATGTATCCCGCACTTAATGAGAAATATCTTCTTTCCAAAAGATGTTACGTCAAGTCACGTCGCCGAAAACGTAGTTAGTAACAAAAATCGTTGTAAACAACAAAAGGAACACGAATGCACATATTCTAAAATACATTACGAGTACTAATAATAAAGACCTTACCGTTGCCGTTTTTAATGGAAAATTTCTTTTTACAAAACCAAATACCCAATTTCTTAGACCTTTCCAATAAGGCATTATCTTTAGGTACTAATCTTATTGCGAACATTTTTTTAAAGAAAATTTTATATTTCTCCTAAAGAGTAAATAAAAGCTAACCAGGGGTAGAGGCTAAATAGATAACAGAGAAAACATGTACAAACATTTGTAAGTGCTATTTAGAGTTCACATAGCACTTACAAAGTTGTGTATTCATGTACTATTTGGATAAGCTCTTTTGTGTCAACATTCTGTTTGTTTTGTCAACATCACAAAAGTACATGGAACTAAATTTAGTAATATTATTTTTCATGGGAAGTTATCAATGCAAATATAATCCGCATCCACACAACGGATGTCACAATGAAATTTGTCTTATCTAAAGCTACATTTAGATAATCCCAAATCCATTTGAATGTTTATTATGATAGTGATAAAACTAATGTTAGAGATTTTTTAAGTAGCCAATAATTTGTTTTTGCATGCTATTTTTTTGGCTAAATGGGCCTGTTCGATTACTATCAAACTAGTAATTTACTACAAACCACATTATTTACTAAACCATTAAAGCAAATAAATATTTTGAATTTGAATCCCTCCCACCATGGCCACCACTGTAACTTCTGTACACCACGAACACACTGAAGTATGACACTCGGGAAGTCCCAAGAAAAGTTAAAACTATCTTCTCAAATTAATTAGAAGAAAATTGTAGGAGCTGGAAATATAATAAATCTGCTCCGATTTACCATAATCCATTAGTGGTTGCGGCGGCGGGGTTGATCTAGTCGAGAGGGTGTTGGTTCAATACACAGGACTAATAATTGTGTAGTGAGCATTTTGTTTTGTGTCTGGGTATAATTTATCGACGATCTGTTGTATTTCGAAATATGTAAGTATGTATATCAATAGACTAGTCACCATAGCACATTTAATAATTTAATCATAATATCATAATAGCATAATTTAATCATAATAATTGTATTAAAATATAAGCTTTAAAAACAGCTTACCAGTAGAATTCAGTTCTGGGACTCCAATAAGTTTAGCATTGTGATCTTGTTGAGCTGTGCCATTGAGAAAGGCCAGCTTCTGTAGTGTTTCATCATTGAGCTTGGCACGGTTGTCATTGAAAAGAAGATCACGTGCCATATCCAGCAGTTTGCTCTAAAATACAAAATTATTGTGTGATTGAACAAATACTAAAAACATAATTACCAATTTATTTTATAAGAAATTTCAATAACAAATGGAAATCACACAGATATAAAGAGAGGAAGTTATAGCTGTACAAACAAGCTTGCTGGCTCATATGATTGTTTAATTAAATAGGAGCCCATGAAGCAAGACAGAGACATTAAATATATTGAATTTTCCAAGTTATTTCTTTGGATTGCATTGAAAGTGTGACCTCTTAACTTTTTTGGTGTAAATATTCAAAAGCTTCAAAATGTCTTTCTAGATTTTTCACTTAAAGTTTGTCACAATTTTGGTTAGGTTTGTGACAATTTGGACATTTTTTGTTTCTTAAGTACCTACCAATTCACTATACTTCTTCAAGACAATGTTTCTTTCTCTCTTCTCTCCATCAAGCAGTTTTCTGACATGTGCAAATTTAGCCTCCCATTTTGCAAGTGTACGTAATGCTTCATCTAACTCTGTCTGTAGCCGAGCAGATTCAGCTTCCGCAGCAGCCCATTGCCCACGCACCCATTCCATTTGTTTTAGGAATGCAAGGAAATCTGTAAAAGGAATTATATCTTATATAGTGTCTATCTTATTGAATTTTCTAATTATTGAAGTTATTTTATCGTAGGTTTCATAGATTTATTCATTGATAAATAAATAACTCTTGATGTGGTAAGGTTGTTGAAAATTATTATAGAACAATTAAATATTTAAAATTATCGATTTATTTTTAAATAAGCTTTGCACTGGTGCAATTTTTAAGACATCACATTACAAATCTTTGAAATTCTTAGATTTTCTCTACTATAATATGTCTGTATTATAAAAATAAATATTCTTCTTGAATCACTCTCTCTGTTGATCAAATAGCACTAAAATCCGTTGTGTAGTTTGAAAGATCTAAACACACAGGAACGGTCAGCGACTTCATTTTATACTATGTTAAGGTAAAGTTATGTAATAATAATATTAATCAACATTAATGCTAGTTTTACATATATGTGGGTGTACTTAGCATTCACAGATAAGCTACTGAACAGTTTGTGATCTGTGTTAAATATGAACTTTTACAGAATCGAACCCTCATACAAAATTTTAAACTTCCACAGAATAATTTTTACATTTATTTATTTTATTCTTTGTGTGTAAAACCAAATTATTCAATACTATCAAATACATCTACAACGTGAAACAGAATTTGTTGAGACTAATGCTACTAAAGTCATGTAAAACACAGAGCTAGTGCATTGCTGATGGGAACTCATAAACACTCATGGAATGGACAGTTTAGTTTACATCAAGAGTTTCATAGGTAGAGATATAGAGACTGCACAGGTGGCATTATGGTTTAAGCGGCCACCTTGCTTCCACTGTATTAAGTGATGTGGGTTCAATACCAATATGGGACAACACTTTGTGTGATCCATAAATTGTAGTGCTGAGTCTGGGTATCCTTGAGTTCATTTCATGTATGTCTGCAAAGTCCGCTACACAGGATTATTTCTTAGCGAGAGTTGTCTTTAAAAAAATATTACAATGGGGTACAATTACAAACTCCCACAATCAACTTTTTATTTCAACAAAAAATGATATGAAAATCTATACTTTTATCTATACTTTGACGACCGAATGGCGTAGGGGTTTGTGTAACGGACTGCTATTCCAAATGTCGCGGGTTCGATTCCCGCTCAAGTCAAACATTTGTGTGCATGAACATTTAATGTTTGATTTGGTCTGGGTGTTTCTATGTATAATAAGTATGTATTTACAAAAAAAAAAGTATGTATTTATTCATATCAGTTGCCTAGTACCCATATTACAAGCTCTGCTTAGTTTGGGACTAGATGGCGTTGTGTGAATGTGTTACAATATTATTATTATTATTATTATACTTAATGCACAATTGGTGAGTAGATTTAAGGTTAATCTCACCTAAGAACTATTGCTAATCCTACAAAAAGAAGGCTCTTTCAAAAGTTGTCAGGTACAAGGACTAAGATCAGTGTATGTAAGCCCATTGATAAATGTACATAGGTACCTACTGTGTTACATACAATATTAGTATTTGTTGATATTTTAGTAACAATTTCATGTTATACGGTACATATTTAAGCCTTGTTAAAACGAATTGTATTATCAACTTAAATGAAGGTAGGTGAGAGTTTTATATCAATACATACCTTATTGTTTCATGTCACTAAGTGCAAATGGTAGAATAAAATATCTGTTATAAAATAAATTTGAAATAATGATATACTTATACAATCAGGACTTACATTCCTCAGCAGCTCCGTCATTCAAGATGCTATTCAACCGATTTATATCATCGAATTGAGCCACCAACGACAAAGTCATGCCGGCACTCGAATCTGAATTTTCTGAACTCATTTTTAGTATATTACACTTTAGAAACACAATTCTATTCAAAACCAAAATAGTTCAATAATATTTTCACATTTCAGTTTGAATAACAGCAAAACAATTTATCAACTGCATAAAACTTGAAATAACGGCTTTCGGTTGAAAGTTGAAATCGCTGACAAATGCCAATGCCAATACGGTTTCCGCGGCGCGGCATCGAACCAAACAGGTTACGTTCAGAAACTGATCTCTCGCTTTGAAGAATTATTTTTCTATGAACACTTTTGCCATTTTCTTATTACTAATTATTTTACACTATTGATCTAAATATAATTATGGTATCGAAATAAAATGCATTTCTAAGTTTTATTTTAACTTTCAAAAAGTATTTAAAGTGTTGCAAGGGATTTCGTTTGTTGCCAGATATTAAGTAATTCCTATTCTTTGGGAAAAAAATATGAAATTTTTCATTAACAAAATCAACCTGGGACATTATTTTATAGTATAAATAATTTTTCTAGTTACATGAATATGGCAAAACACTTTTTCCTTGAATTTCGTCAATAATGGATCCTTCTGTAAGGCCTAATTCAATACTATCTACATAATCGAAAACACCACATTAAATATTTTGTGATGCCTTGGCTAAAATTGAAATATTTATAGAAGGCTATTGGACTCTCAGTTTCGAAACACAAAGATTTATAAATCTTAACCTACTTTGTTAAAAAAAAAAATTGGTTGCCTGTAAAGTCGGTATACGGGCGAAAGTTTTACGTGACAACGACTATGTCTGTCTCTCTCGCTCTTAGGCGGGCTAACCATGCCCGATTGGAAGGGACGCGTGCCTCTCACTCGCTCTCATTGTGAGCGCATAACGTGAGCGGAGCGTAACGCAGTTTCTTGAAGTGTCACCCGGCAAACCAATTTATAAGACGTTGTCACGTCAAAAGGGTTGACTATAATTTATTTTGGTGAACAAAAATCTGGTCATGTGTATTTGATTATGGTTTTGTTTAGGAAAAGTAAAAATTCAACATCACAATTTACGGTCATGGAAAAAGATAATGTTTTATATGGTAACAAAGTTATTAAATTTCAATTTGACACTGACAGTTTTGTTCGCTAACAAATCGCGATGACGTGCGGTTGAAGGCGGCAGTGTGTCGGAGTGAGCCGCGCTGTCTGGCGAATATTTGTGAGATAATAATCATTTCCGAGGACACCGGGCCCTAGCCTCCTCCCGTAGCCATGGCGGACGAGGAGAATAATTGTGATGATGGTGATTTGCGCGTTGGGCAGGCGTTCCGTTTACGGGGCCGCAAGGGTGCGCTCAAAAAGAAGAATGTTTACCTGATCAAAGACCACAAGTTCATGCCGAGGTTCTTCAAGCAGCCCACCTTCTGCTCCCACTGCAAGGACTTTATATGGTAAGTAATTGAAATTTTCTTGTATTATTCGTAAAGAGCGCGATATTAATAATAAAAATTAAAAATACACTATTTGTTTACAATGAGCAGGCGTGTATGGTTTAGTTTTTTTTGGATCGTGTGACGATGATAACTGTCTGTTCAGCCTAGGTGAACGATTACAATTTAACATTCGAATTGGTTGTATTAATGGTTATGATATTTGTGCAGTTACCAAATTAGGTCTAGGTACCATTGTTTACGATATCTATTGTAACTAACGCGTTTTCCTGTAAACGTGTTTGTTTATTAGTTTGATATTCTGGTTATATATAAGTAATATGTTTGAAATAAATATGAAAAAAAAGTATTTAATCTTTCTAATAGGAGTCTTATTGGCAACCTGTATGAATACAAAAAATATTTATGTAATTAGTTTAAAAAATAAAGTAAAATAAAAAGTAATCTGTAAGTATTACTTAAAATGCCTATGTATCATACTTAATTTATTAAAAATGCCTAGTATTATATTTTTAGTTAATTTAAATTCTGATAACATTCTAGAATATTAATTAATAATATTAAAATAGTAAAATGTATCATTAATATTTATTTAAGTATTGAATATAATATAATATACAATATGTAATAATAATATAAAGATTTTCAAAACAATTATTCTGGCTAAGAAGTAATACCTAACTACACTGATTGATTATTTATGCAATAATTATTTATATAAAAACCAACTTTTTGCCATGAAATGCTAACAATATAATTGTTAGCATTCCTGAAGCATTTGGATTAATGAAAAGAAACCTATCAAAGATATTAAAAAAAAGTATGTCCTCATGACTTAATAAAACTTTAAATTATTCATTATATTACAAGACATCAAAGTGTTAAAAACAAGACATCAAAAACAATTCTTGTTATTAATACTATTTATTGTAGAACTACCTACAGTAAAATTGTAAATAACAATACAATTTTTTAAACATACCTATACAATTAACTTTTTATATTACCTAAACAAATATTATTACTTGATGCAGGTTCTATTTAATTTGTTAAGAATGAAGAAATTCAACCCATAAAATTTTATTTTTATCTATAATCGATTTCATCGGTTGAATTTCTCAGAGATCTGTACAAAATGCTTTCATTTGATACACCTCTGACACAAAAGGGAAATGAAAATTGAATGAAAACTGAAAATGAATTTCGTTTATGACATTTGCCAGTGACAGAAGAACTAGCCGACAGCTTGACAACTTTCACAGATGAATATTTAGCTCATATCTTTTAAATTCTCCTGCAAAGAAATACATATTATAACATAAGTGCTTAACTTCTACTACAGTTTGTGTATTAACAGTTGAGGGACACATGTCATAAACAAAATTGAACTGCCTAAGAAGTTATAACTTTATAGGAACTGTTTATTATTTTTTAAAATATTTGTTCTTTACCGACTAGACAGTTACAATTTGAAATAAATATTATTTGTAGCTTTGTCAATGATCACTGGGATTCTTGTGAGCTAATCTGTGGTTACTGGTAGAACCAGGCCAAAGGCAGAAGGCCAGTTCCTAGTCTATGAAACTTTATTTTTAAAAACTTAGTGCTGTACTTCCAAAAAGAATTTCTTAATCCCCACCTACTACTCACCATACACTTATTGACTATATTAGGGGTAAACGAGCGAGCCCTACAATACTCTCATATGATGATCTCATATAATATAACTCTACTCTACATGTGAAGGCCAACTCCAGTACCGCGCGCTCATTGGTCAAATCAAATAGAGCGCGCTTTTTCGACTTCCTGTTACACAATTCCGTCCCTTTTTACGAAATCACTCCCATAGATTACAGTAAAGAGAGAGGAAAGATGTGATACCTACATAAAACATATGCGTATTGTATACAAAGACATTTGGTAACGAGGCATGGGACAAAATAACAGTGAACTGTGAAAGACCGGTGATTTATCATAGGATTTTTTCGTACGTAGGTTAGGGTTACTACTTACTCAGGCGTTGTTGGCAAGAAGCTGTTTTGAGACGATGCATAAAGACCCTATTTCGCCTATACAACGGTAAATCCAGTAACTATTTCATTATATATAGCTATGATTCTCTACATAATAATTTAAAAAATACTAGATTTACTGTTAAATAGCGTCTAACCTACTTGGCTAGCAACTCTAACCTACGTAAGCAAAAAATCGAATGAAAAATCACAGTTTACTGTGATTTTGTCCCATTTCTAGTGGTAACGGATTAAGAATACAGAGTGTCACCACCCCTATTCAACCCGTGGGTGTTGTTAAAGTCGACTAAGGGATCAAACTATGTAGGACAATAATACTGCAAAGAGAAGGAAAACTTGAAACAAGCCCTATACCAACCAGTCTGGCCGGCGTGGTATACCACGACTGGTTTTGGCCTACTATAGTAGGCCAAAACCTCCTTTCTAATTAGAGGCCTATGTTCAGCAGTGGACTAGTAACGGCTGTTGATGATGATGTATACAAAGAATAATGTTTCTCGTAGGTTGGTATTTACCTCAATTATGTAATTTCGCAAAACTTAAACTACTTTCCAGTTTATGAAGTAAGTTACTTATAGCGTTAAAGGATTATTTTTTGTGTTCTTCGTAAAGACGATCCCGTAGGCGTGTGCCCTTTAACTTGATCTGAATAAATACCAACTTGCTCATTATTCTAGACTAGTAACTAAACTCATTATTTCTCACAGGCCCGGCAGGCGTTTCGTTTTGAGATAAATACTACGATTTTGTGGTTTTTAATATTCCCAGAGGTTCAATTTTAAAAGCCTAATTAGCCGTTTCTTGTTGAAATTGACGTAACGAAAAGAGCCTAAATTATGTTCAAAAGAGTTTCCTTTATATAAAAGGCTGTGCGTATAAGGGAATAAAATACATTTCAAATGAGTTCATTCCGTCTTTTTACTTGTTATATCACGCAGAAGGAAAGCGAAATGAGCATTTCTAGTAATTATATTGAACAGGTACAACATTTTATATTGCTATGAAAATGTTTTGTTACGTTCAATTCACATAACAGAGTGGTTTTTTTTCTCTTATCATATTCTAGGTATGCGTTTTTAGCTAAAATCAGCTGCATTTAACAGTAGACGTAAGTTTATGTACTGATACTTTATTTTTTAAATTACATTGTGAACCAATTGGAAATCTGAGCATTAGAAGTAAGTACTGTAAAGATTACGTTTTCAACTGATTATCACCACCGCATGCATGAATACAATACCAAAATACCGTAACAATTGACTGCTGCTACATTAATTTAGATTACGATACGATAAAGGCGATTAACACGGTTTTTGGATTGTTTTTTTTATTTAACGTCATCTTTGCGTAGTACTTTTTCCATCAAATGCATTCAAATTTTTAAGAATAAGCAATCAAGAGATTATAAACCCACAAATACCTAATTATTAGATTAAGAAAAGGTCCCATCTATAATATCTAAATAATAATAAATATGTTAATAATAATGTATTTTTAATCATTATTACAAAACGAACCAAACCGTAACTACACGGCACTGCTCTTAACTCAAAGGGCCTTAACGCATTGCGGTGAGTTTTTTTTCTAGGTAAGCCAAAATCCAAACAATATTCATGCCCTTTTATTAACGGAAACTGTTAAATGTTGGGCCGTCTTACACAAAATTAGAGAAGCGCAATATCCTCTCCTCAGATCAAGTGTTAATCTACACCACACCATTCATTTTTCATGAAGAGATTTTCTTTCATGCGTACTACTATGAACTACTATGAAAGAAAATCTCTCCGTAAAAAATGAACGAGAAACGAGAACAATGAGAAGCAAGCCTTTCCTGACAGACCGTACCCACACTGGCGGAGCTCCGTTTTGCCTTTCAACGATTTTAGATTTCTACATCATCACGATTAGGTGAACATGTATCTAGAAGAGGGCTAGAGACGCGAACTCGTTCAAACCTCGCCGTATCCTCTGTTCGCCTGAGGAATGTCGACAAGCCAAATTCGAGCTAAAATATTAATGTGACACTGTCTATTGCCACCTTTTTACGGAGATATATAATATGTAATCAAATTTAGTAAAAGCAATTGTAGAAGTATGTAAGCTCATTTCCATAGTAATATCAAGGCAACAAAAACAAAGCCGCCTGGCTGGAAATGTATTTTTGCTAGTAAATTTTGCATTCACTGATCCTCACTAGTAATCGAAAAATGAAAATGCTCGAAACACAGGAAGTTACACCTACTTACACGTGAATATGAATCGATACCAAAATACTTTTACCAAAGTTAACGTTTTGACTTGTAAAATGTCACCCAATCAATTATGTGATACAGAAGCAATAAATACATATTTTCGTATATTCGTGATTCCTCTTACCACAGTTTATAAAGGGAAAGTTCTGTGTAATGTTTGTTATTCAATCACGCAAGAACGAATGAACAGATCTTGATGAAGTTTTACACAAAGAAAGACTATAGATGGAATAAACTACTTTTAATCCAGTAAAAATGATGCCGATCATTTTTCTCCCGGATTAATATACAAAACATAATACATTCACATTCCACATACACACAACACCATCTAGTCCCAAACTAAGCAGAGCTTGTACAATGCGTACTGGACAACTGATATAAATACATAAACACAATATTTTTTTTAATACATACTAATTATATATAGAAACACCCAGACCAAATCAAACATTTCAAAGTTCAAGCACACAAAATGACTTGAGCGGGAATCGAGCCTTTGAACCTTTGACCTTTGAATACGAAGGAAGTTAGCGAGCAAAAGATAGCTGTTCGATAAAAATGTGTGTGAAAATAAACAGAAGTCACTGCGGTAATGAAATATTGTCTTTATTTTACTTCAAGAAGGTGCCATGCCTATATATTTGAAACATCTCTTTGCTGATAATTCAAGTGGAATGTTATGTGTTAGAGTTAGCGCAATGGAACTAATGATCTCACTTCGAGGCGAGAGAAGCACTATTAATAATACAAATGCGAAACATTCTAGTGTTTAGCTTATGTTTAATAAATCAAAAGGTACTGACAAATGGATTGCCAATTTGCTGCACGAGTTGTTTTATCACCTGTTACTTGATTTTAAGGGGGTATGCTTCTTTATTTTTACTTAAAGTTTTAGAAGGTCGATCTTTGAACTCGTACAGTTATGTGCTGCTACAAAATTAGTTTCAGAAGATCAACCGAAAAAGATAAAAAAGTAAATTCTAAAACGTTTAACTGACACTTTTGCTGTAGAGATTCTGTATTTCATATCCCAACATATACAATTAAGAAAAAACATCGACTAAGAGAAAAACGCGGTATAGTAAGCCTGAACCTCCTTTCTAAGGAGAGGCCTACGTCCAGCAGTGGACCACTAAAGGTTGGTGAAGAGAAAAACATCATTTGTCTACTGAATGCCAAAAAGACATTTAACAGTTTTCGAGCGATTATAATTATTTAGTTTGAGGTAGACTCAGAGGCCCAAGTGTGAGTTTTTTTCACATAAACTCGCTCTCGATAGCGTGCGCGTTCTTCGTTGCGATTGGTGGAGATTCCAGTACGGGCCAATCGCAAGGGCGAACGCGGTCACTGTGACTATCGAGTAGATGTTTAATAAACTCACACTTGGGCCTGAGTTTAGAAATTAATTATGTTTTTCTTTAGTGGTATAGGGGGTAAATGAGCTGATAACTGCCTCGGTGGTGCAGTGGTAGGGTATGCGACTGCTGTGCTGAGGTCTCTGGTTCGATTCCCGGGTCGGACTAAACGTTTGTATGATCTGCTAATATTTGTTTCGGAGTTTGGGTGTTTTCTATCTATTACGAGTATATGTATTTATTACAAAACAAAAGTATATAAGTGTTCTATCCGTCAATCTAGCTGTAATACGCAAATAAACAATTTGATTTGATTTGATTAGCTTTTATAATATTTATATAATAATTGAAACTAAACGGCGTTGTGTTAGAAGTCCGAAAAAAAAAAGATGGGTGAGTGACTAGCGCCCCCCGTGGGCACCTGCAATTTGAGACACAAGTGCGCTGCCGCTTGTTGAGTGCGCTCTCACGACCGATAGACTTAGGGACACTCGAAAGGCCAGGGCGGTCGGTTTGGGCTACAGTGACCACACTACTCGATGAAAATCAAATAAAGAAATGCTTAACACCGGTTATGTGTGAGGCTGTGGTATCACTCCGGTCGAGCCGGCCCATGTTTATTTATATTATTATCAAATTTGAAAAACTAAGGAAAGGATTGTTTTGACTGCTTTTATAAAGTTTTTTTTTTTTTTTACAAATAAACTCATCAATGCAATTAAAGGTTGCTGAATGTATTTCAATCCTAAATATTTACAAACTTTATATTAGCATGACCTGTGTCTATCTAAAATCTTTCTACGTAGTATAGTTAATCGGACGTCTTAAATGTAACTCACCTCAGTTACTTTCATTGTGTTAAGGCGTTGTTATTTGTTTTGAAGTTATCTTTTGTTTCTAAAACGTTTCTAATTGAATTATTAAGCAATAGTCGAAAGTGTATACATTATTTTTTGCACAATGTAACAATTGTCTTTCAGTGTGGCCATTCCTTTAAAAAGCCCTTTCATACTTCATGCCTCTCCCTCTTAAGACACATATACGAGTAAACATGAATCTAATTAACTCGCAAATAATGTCCAGTGACTCACTGGCAGTGAGAGACTGTGACTTCGGCCAATTAGCTCTCCAGCATCCAGCTCTATCTGGATCCTGTATGCACTTTTTCTTTTTTATCCTTCTATCCATCTATTTGCCTGTATTCTGAAGAAAAGTGCCCGCTAATAAGCTGCTACTGGACTCTTCTGAAGTACTTAAACTTAAAGCTTAAACAAAGTGGTGTGCTGTTGTCTCTGTCTACCCTTAAGGAAAAGGGCGTGTAATTATTTTTGGGTTTTTGACATTTTGTTCTAGGCCATATCGAGTTTTAGTTAAAATATTATTTTCTTCTATTTTCCACCAACACTTTTTTACTTCTCTCAAGCAGTTCTCAGGAGAATTTAAGAAATACGCTTCTGATATTAATCTGTTCTGAGAATGAGACAATACGCAACTGAGATGTCGGAATAGTTTGTGTTTGAATGAATCACGCGCCTTCGTTAATTACAATGTTTGCTATTAACATCAGCGTCGTTGATGATTCAGCATGCGCCACCAAACTAATTTGTGGTAAAGATGTTATCTTGGACAAAATACAGCAACACTTTAAATGCATGTGCTACTATACGACGATATGCGCAATAATGTAAACACTTGCCAACTTATTTATTTAAATAAGTTGCCATTATATTTGTTTTTTATAAAAAAAAAAAATTTCCTCCAAATAGGGGTATTTTTGTTTCATATTTGAATTCGACTATACGGGAATACAGCCTTTCAAAAAAAATAATTTTCCTGATTGGTCCATAAAGAGTTTTGAGCCAACAACCAAAAAAAAACAGCCGCATTCATATTAGGAACCCCGCGTATTTTTGGGAGGCGGTTAAAAAATAACAAAAATAACTAACACCGTGATTCAAAAGGGTTGATCAAAATATTATTAAATAACCAATCTGCCAAAATATCTACAGAAATATTTAGCAAATCTTTATTAGCCGGATGATCAAATCAAAGTGATGCCTCGGTAATCGCTAAGAATTTCTGTGATAAAGTAGGGGTGATCTAATTGTTGCTTAATTTTTTTATA